AAAAGTGACATTTGGCGTTTCTCTGAGGTGTCATGCCTAGAATGGCTGTTAGCAGCAGAATCCACCAACAATGGCGTCTCAGGGAAGCTTCCTTTGCTATTGCTCGTGGTGTGACCCAGCGTGAGGGGCTATAGACCCTAAGCTCACTCCCAGATTCAACTAAGATTTTATCTCCATCTTCCCTGCAGGTAAAAACTGCCCATCCCAACCTCCCAGCAAACCGCCAGGCCTCTAAGTCCATGGTGGCTGAAGCCTATCAGTCCCAAGGAGGGTCTCAAAACTATCTCCATCTGGCGGTGACGGCTTCTGAGCTCAAACCTGGAGACGACTTACCTGTGAATTTCCATCTGAAGAGCAACAATCCAGCTGTTCTGAACCAGATCCGGTATTTCACCTACATAGTAAGTGCTGCGTCCCTGGGTACTGGGATCTCCTGGAACTTAGGCATCATCTGAGTTTCCACCTGTCCTTTAATAGTCCCACTGCATGTAAGGAGAACCTGTAGCACAGAATTCTTCCCAGTCAGGCAGTATATTCATTGTGTGTCTGTGTAGCAGAGTGCGGCAGGGCCCCCTTGGCTTCTGCCTCTGCTAGGTTCACAAAGTCACTCTGAGACCCTGGGTTTAGTAACCACTGGTGTACTTTATTCTCAGGCTTGTTCCCACCACTGTTTCACCACGTACAGGTAACCCTCACTGTCTGCAGGCAGGAGGGAGGGGGAGCTACCTCCCTGCTTTCATTCCCTGCCTTTTTCCTTTCTCCTGCTCTCCCCTTGCTTCCTTCCCCTGAGATTTTTATGCAGCCACAGGTTAATTAGGTAGCAGCTGCCCCCCGCAGCTCCCATTGGCCGGGAAGGGGGAACCACAGCCAATGGGAGCTTCGGGGGAGGTACCTGGAGGCGCGGCAAGGGCAGCGCACGCAGAGCCCTTCCCTTCCTCAGGGGCCGCAGCGCTTTCTGGAGCGGCGCTGCGTTGGGCCAGGGCAGGCATCCAGGGCATGCATGGCCCTGGCCCCGGTGCCCTCCTCTGCCACCCTGGAGCCGCTTTAGGTAAGCGGTGCCGAGCCGGAGCCCAAACCCTGCCTGAACCCCACCCCCCAACTCCCTGTCCTAAGCCCCCTGCCTGCACCTC